TATGCAAGTGTTAGCATAAGATGCCTCTTTGTATCCCTATTTGTTTAAACTTGTATTCGTTGATTCGTATATGTAAAGTGTACGTAAGTGCACTCTTTTCAATGTATTTTACATGTATGAGATGAGGCCAGAGGCCAATGACATGTATCTCGTTTTCTATGTACTTTTGTTTTCAAAGTTTATTATGAAAATATTGGAAAATGTTAAGTCATTGCTTCATAACTTTCGCATCGGGTGTTGGAATTTCATATCTTTTCTGCCCGGACTCAGAATCAGACGATTCTTGAGTCTAATTTTGTTCATTTTTCGTTGTCCTTCCAATGGTGTGCACGGTGGCACCCTTTTCAGTGAGAAATGACCATTTTGCCCTTAGTTCATCTCTTTTCGGGTTAGGCATTCTTGCTTCATTTGCTTGGCCCATTTGAGTTACATGGCTTCATGGAGAGTCATTTTGGGGCCTTAGGGATGACGTACATCTCTTGAGGTCATTTGGTTTCTTTCACTTCCGCATTTCGGGTTCGTTATTAAGTCAACTTCCGGTTCATCACTAACGCACCGGGTTGAGAAATTCGGGTCGCTACAGTTTTTTTAGTTTAGCCTTCTGTCATGAGTATATATACATGTTATCTTGCTGTGAGTTGAACTATTATAACTTGGGTAAGTTTATATAGTTGAATCAAAGCTATGGAAGTTGAGATTTGGACAAAAAAATATATTCATTAGGGTTTTTGACTTACGAAACCCTAGCTATTTTCTGTAGAAATAATCCATTTTGAGTTGTGATTGTTGAACACCTTGCTTATTTCATTGTGTTTATCATTTGAGCATGTGTATAAGGTTGATATAAGGTTGTGAGAGCCATTTGGTGGTCTGTGTTATCCTTCTACCACAGATTTAGCAGAATGAGGCCTATTTGCTGTTGTTTGATACTTTGAGTTGTACAATCACTCTTATTCTTTGTAATAGCTTAAGTATTATTATTATATATCCATTTCAATTTATTTTGTGAGCTATGAGTGCTTGCAGGGTCCAAGCAGGGTTGCTAAGGACAAGAGGAGAGTTGTGTGCACATTGTTGTGAGTTAAGGTGTGTGCAGAGTGAAAGACAGCTGAGTGTGTATCTACTTGCATTAAAACTAGTAGAGCTTACATTAGCTATCACCAAGAATCAAGGGTTTTTATCTCTAGTTGAGAGAGATTTTTCTTGTAAAATCATTGAGCACTTGTGGTTGAATGTGTAAACCTATTGACTTGAAATTCATCTAAGTGTTGGAAGAAGATTTTGTAAGAGAACCAATCCCTCCCCCCCCCCCCCCCCCCCCCCCCCCCCCCCCGGTTCATTATAGTGCATACACATTTTTTAACTATCACTACTAGCTTCTAATAAGCACACTTTTCTCATCTCTCACCACTAGCTCATGCTGAGCGCCCACTTCTCTATTATTACCACTAGCTTGAAGTTAAGTTTGCTCACCTATCAATTCTAGTAGTTCTTAGCTTTAGTACACCTTTATCTAAGTTGTCTATATTGGTAGTAAATAAATTTGTTTAGAAGAATATTCTCCAAAAACTACTACTTTACAAGTAATATTCTTCCCTCATACAGGAGCAGGAGCAGATATGATGTATAGCTCAAATAACTTATAGCCAAAATGGTTATTCATCACTTTCTTGATATTTTCATCTTCTTTTTAGGTTCTATGCACCTTAGTAATCATTTTAGCTTATAGCTAAGCTAACTAGTCTGTACCTCAGTAATGTTTAGCTCGTATCGGAAAATCTTCTTTTATTCAGCCCATTAACTGTTATAACTGTCTTAAACACTAGTATAGATCTTTTTCCTTTGACTATCAAGAGAATTGACATAGCTGGACGAGTTAATTTTTGTTTGTTATATTAAATACACGAATTAGTCATGGACTCGTACAAAGATAATAATATCACACATTAAATATACTATATTATAAAATTGAATTACTATGCATAGTAAGGCCCCGTTTGATTGCTGTTATGTTTTAGTGTTTTTGTTACAAGTCTGGCACTATAGCGCTAGATTTGGTGTATAGCAATATGATTTGGCTCACGTTGGAGTGTTTCCAACAGTATCAAAAAAAGCCTGAAACAAGAAATAGGTGTTTTTGGATGTGTTTGCAACTTAGCACTGTGCGACTACTATAGCGGCCGAAACAAAAATAATTGTTGCAACAATACTTAGCCCAGGTATATAAAGAAAACTGAAACATTTTGGTGCATTTTTCTCTGCACTCTCTCTCTCTTCTGAAGCGCTAACCTCTGGCGATTTGGAGGCGACCAAACCCTAGCCTCTGCGATTTGTGAACAAGAACCTCAATAACCGCAAAATCTCACTGTAAGTATTGTAGAGCTTCCATTTTAAGGTTTATAGGGTTTGTTTTTGTTCGATTTACTCTTGAAAACACATGAAAAGAGTTTTTTGTGTACGATTTGTTCGATTTTCTCTTCCATTTTATTCGATTTTTTGTTCAACACGTTTTATTCGTTGCCAACACGTTTTATTTACATCAGAAACTTGTCTATACATTCAAGCCCTAAATCTGTTTGATCGGAACCCTAGCTATACTGATTTTCTCTTCCATATGGTTCATCTTCAAAATTTGATTCTCTTATTCTTCCTGCCATGTGAGGTTTAAATAATTGATTGATTTAAAAAACTAATTAATTCAATCAAGTTCAATTACATATCTCTCTCTAAATCATGACCTCAAAATCAACCAAAATAAGAACACCTAGCGATGATAGTGACATACATGATTCTACTCAAAATAGTTTGGTTGGACATTTGCTACCTGTGTATTAAGTCTTGTGCGTGCTCAATTTCCTTCTGCTGCTTTGAGCTTCAATCCATGCTTCCTTTGCAATAATTTACTCAGAATAATTGCCCATGTATGTCCTGGATACACCTATGTCAGTTTCAACAATTTTTGTGCACAGCTGGTCAAGGAAAGCCCTGTCATGAGATACGATGACCATTGGCACATTGACCTTATTAAGATAACCTTCAAGCCACTCAATGGTATCAAGATCAAGTTGATTTGTCGGTTCATCTAATAATAGCAAATCTAGGTCCTGCATGTAATCACATATATCAGCAATCAGTCATAGAGAAATTGCATTATTTTTCATAAATATAATCAACCAATATACGAAGTTAATGTATGAGGTATTTGCCTAGATTTATATAGTATTATTTTCTATTGGAATGGGAGCAGTTCCTTGGGTGATAATGTATGAGGTATCTGAATAACCTTTAAATTCCTCATTTCTAAGTACTTCTTTGTGCCATATGACTATGGATCTAACATTTTTTATGGCTTATTTAATAAGTGCATTCCATTATGGTTATCTTGCAAAGTAGTACCTGAAGCCAAGGGAAAAACATTAGAAGAAATTAAGGCATCCATCAATGCATTCTCAGCATCATTCTGAATATATCATAATGATAATTTATCTTGCAATATTTTGGCCATGACAAGTGGTTCTGGTATGAATTTTTTGTCTTTAAAATATTTTAATAGATTAAAGAACCTGTAAGGGCTAATTGTAACAACAATGTTGACAGTAGACCTCTGTATAATAATTGAACCTTTAAATTTTTAAATTTGTGGGAATTAATGTTGATGATCAGTAGAAAATGAGGAATTTAAGGTGGAAGATGCTCTAAAGGAATTTAAATTTGGTCTAATCAATATTTAAACTTTCTGTTTAATAGATGATTGTTTTCATCACTTTGCTAATTCTTGCTTTTCCTTGACAATGTTGTGGTGCTTCTCTACTATTTTTGGGACTGCCTTGATGGAAATATGTTTGAGGTCATCTTCTCAAAAACTTGGAAAGCTTTCATACTGAAAGTTTCTTCAAACGTGTGCATTTTGGTTGAAGAAAAGGCTTTGTTGTTGCTGTGTATCAAGGTTGTTATCTCAGTTGTATCATTCTTGTATTTCCACTACTAAAGACCTCTTGTGTGCATTCTAGTCAGTTGTATCATCCTTGTAATCTCCTTTTTTTTTTTTTCTTTTTGTTGTTGTTGTTGTTGTTGTTCTAGTATCATCCTTGTAATGAAGGAGGCTAGCTCGGTTGTATCATGTTTTTATCATCCTTGTAATCTTAAAAAATGGCATTCTGCAATTAGATTTTACCTTGGTATAATTTTAATGAGAACTTTGATGTTATTATTTTCTTAAGAGCTTTGATGTTAGAATTTACCTTAGAATAATTTTAAAGCAGGTGGTTGCATTAATGTTTCAAGTACCAAAAATTTAACAGCCTTTAACAATTTTCTTTGAAATGGGTAGATTTAACAAACTTGATTGCTACCATGGCTACAGTGTTTAATATCTACTAAGAAGGGGATTTGCATTAAGTTAAATGACAAGGGGATTAACTTTTACAATGTTGAATCTCTACTAAGAAGGGGATTTGCATCAACTTAAATGACAAGGGGATTAACTTTTACCAATAAGATTTGCATTAAGTTCAATGAAAAAGAAGGGTAAATTCTGACAAAATTTTCAAGTCTTGGAGGTGTACCATAGATAAGGGATTTAATTTAAATTCTCATTGCAAAACATGGAATTTGCATTAAGGTCAATGACAATGTACATATAAGATATGTGACTAATCATGCAAAATTTACTTATGCATTCTTTCTCATATCGATCATCGTACTAATCATGCAATTTTGGCAACCGTTTGACTCTGCCAAATATGTTTTGTTTTAAAATTTCTAGAAACCAAAGATCTTGCCAAACATGTCACTACAACATATTAGGGTTTCACCAGTGCTTTTAAAAAAAGCGCTGGTGTTGAGTACTAATTACCAGCGCTTCTAAAAAAACGTTGGTGTTGAGTACTAATTACAAGTGCTTCTACAACAGCGTTGGTGTTGAGTATTAATTACTTGCGCTGGGGTTGAGTACTATCAACACCAGCGTTTCTAAAAAAAGCGCTGGTGTTGAGTACTAATTACCAGCGCTTTTTAAACAAACGCTGGTAAGTGCGAAATGTAGTGCGGGAAAATTTGGCGCTCTAATATTATTTCACTTTATTTCTAACTTTACCAATTTCATCCGAGCCCTAGTTTCTCTTCAGCCTCCCCAATCGTCTCTATCTTTATTCTCGATCTCAACTCTGAACTTGCCCCCCTCTTTCTCTATAACTCCCCAATCGCCTCAATCTCTCTCTTTGCAACTCCCCAATTGCCTCCATCTCTATTCTCGGTCTCAACTCTGAACTTGCCCCCCCCCCCCCCTCTCTGCAACTCCCTAATCGTGATGACATGTGCCCCTCCTCCTCAATCACCCCCCTCTCTTTGCAACTCTGCCTCCAATCTCTCTGTCACTTTTCTCACTTTTTCTCTCTACGTACCTATACCATACCAGTCTTGATTGATCAGAATGGTGAAGCTTGTATCGGCCCGAGAGAGTAGGATATACGGACCCCAATTGGCTCGAAACCGGTCTGAGTACATGAGCACCAGCTTATACGTGTTCGCCACCATTGTTCTTCTCTGTGGCTTCGCGACTCAGCTCTCCAACAAGCCAAAATCGGGTTTGGTTCTTCTACTTATAGGCTTAGCTCTCATAATCATTGTGAACGTTCACGATCTCCTTGCTCATCTCGCCGGCATCGATTACCAGTTGCCGTTGATGGAATTCGACGTCTAGCTCGGCCTCATCGAGTTCGCCGTCCCCGTGGTTCAGATTACAGCTACACTTCTCTATTTCTTGGGGATTCTTTTTATTTTCATTCAGGTATGTTCTTGTTTGTTGTAATTGTGTCGAAAAATCTCTATCTTGGTGTTATGTTGATGATTATGTTCATTGGACATTTTGATTTAGACTTCTATATATATATATATATATAAATTTCTAATTGTGGAAGAATTGCCCATGGGGTTGCCGTATGTATCATCTATTTTTTAAAATTCATTATTGCCCATGTTGTATCTATCACCAAATAATGTTTTTATTTTATTTTTAATTTTATTAAATTCATTATTTTTTATGCACAAGCTATTTTGTGTTCGAGAAGGTTTGGTAATGGGTTTAATACATTATTAATCATGGACTCATAATGTTCCTAGTCTCTTTTATTTTTGTACATTTTTGCATACATTGATGTCATTCTCATCTCAGAAATATCAAAATTGGAGTAGTCCTTGCTTATAAAAACTTTTGGGCTAAGCTCATTTTTTATTCTAATGCTTCAGGAGTAGAAAATAAAAGAGGGTCAGTACATGATGGGTCTAAAAGATGAGATATTCTATTTTTATTGGTTTATTACATAAGCTTTGCAGGTAATTTTTGCATTCTTGCTATTTAAATGAGTTAGTACTAGCATACCTTTTTTTGTATGACCAATGTTTAAGGTGGAGTTTTTTTTTTTTTTTTTTATAATTTCTGCAATTCTGTTTTAGCTTTCTATTATTCTAATTTTCAGTTTGGTTTATGGATAAAGAATGTTATATAACTTTTTTGGGTTTTCTGAACTGTTATATTGCCATAGAAGTAAGGCACTTCCATTTTGTACTACTGGGTTTTTCATTAAGATTAGTTTCTTTAAGAAAATGATGTATGTGGTGCATGTGTCACTCTTGAAGATCCTCACACTGAAGATCTTAGTCAAGAAGTTAGAGGGTTCATATTGTCTAAAATTCTGGTTTGTTTGTTCCTGAAAAAGTCACTTTACTTTTACCCAAATTGTGATACCACGTTACAGTGGCTTTGATGCTTTAGTTGTTTTTATTACTACTTAAATTGCTGATCATTTATCCGAAAACATTTGAATTTTTTATTATCTAAATATTCTGTATCACATTTTAGTGAAACATAGTTGTGACTTGTGACCCATAATTGCTATTGTTTTCCGAGTAGGAGAATCTTCTTGTCTGAAAATAAATTCTGAAGAAACTGCAAAATGTCGTTTCATCATCATACGCCATGTCTTCATCTTGTATCTCCCTCTCTCCCTGTCTCTATATATACATATTGCTTGGTCTATACAACCCCAACCTCACAATGGGAAAATTAAATATAAGAATATGAAATCTTACTTGGTTATAAGTAGCAGATTTAATCCTAATACTACTTGCTAGTGGGCTATGAAAAGTATTAAGTCTAATCCAAATGTGAGCAATTTGATTCCAAACAAAATGTTCTAAGAAATCTCATCCCAGTTCAAGAAAATTAGAAAGACAAGTGACTTGTGTAAGGTCAAAATTTCTAAACTGTGATGAAAAATTGTTTATTTTTTAATTTTTAATTATGCTAATAATCGATTGTGACTAGCACATAGGATACAGTGACAGAATATTTTTCTTTTGATAAGTAAGATACAGTGACAGCATATGATATTATGAAGTTTTAACAAAATTTGTGCATTGAGAAGACTTTTCCTCTTAGATCCTGACTGTAGTTTATCACCTGCTCTGTAAAGGATAAACCATCTTAAACACAAAGATTGATTAATCCCAACACTTGAGCTTCTTGAGTACCTTCTAACAAAGATAAATTTCAGCCTTAAAAGCATACCCACTATGACTGGCCTTAAGTGAAAGTATTATTCTTTTTGTGAACCTTCATGACACCTAGTATGCTCTCCTACTCCTTTCTTTAAAGGCTTTCTAGTTTGGCTGAAGAGTTGAGTAATTGTAAATTAAGGTATGTAGGGATATGCTAGTAAGAGATCTAAATTACAGTGATTTTATTCCCAGTAGTATACCTTCTTTCACCCTTCTAAGTACTTGGCACCTTTTCCACTGCTGGACCCCAAAAGACTTTTCCCTCTTCACTCTCAAAGGAAGACCAAGATACTTAAGCAACCAACCTCAGATATCACAACCTAAGGAGCTGGTAACTGTCCTCAGAATACTTTGGTTTTATCTTCATAGCCCAAACACAAACACAAACAATTCAAAGATGGGATTATAGAACCCTTACTAAAAGAAAGAAACTAATATTTTATATTTGTATATTGGGGTGTTATACAAGCTCCAATTGTTCTACCCTTACAACATTCTAGTAAGAACATCAACTGTGAAAGTTACTAGAAGATTCTAGCAAGGAGAATTGCCCTATCTTTTTGTGTAGCTGGTACCAGGTTTTCTTCGAATGATCTTGGTGTTATATATTACTAATTATATGGATGTAGGGTTTTTAGTTTTGTAGATAACACCGCAAAATGATCTTTTTGCGTTTCGAAATACTAAAAATTATAACTCAACATACCAGATCCTAACTACTCTGGATTGGAATGTCATTTTTCTTTCCTTTCCAGGTTCAACTTACATAAGAATAATGAAAGGTTTCCTGTTGGCTGCCTTTCTCCTTTGTCTGAGCTCTGGGGACTACCTTACACACAACCTCCTTGTAGTTCACGGGTTTTCTTATGCATGAAAGAGATAGAAGCCTAGAATTAAAATTTTAACTATCTTATAGATTGGCATCTGATTAAATAACCTAGATACACTAAACTCTTATGAGTATAATACATCTTCATAGTAGAGCTTTCGTGTTTTGATAACCAATGGTGGTTTTGGAGGTGGATGCAATGTTAAATCATTGGTGTAGTAATATAAATGAGGTGTGTTTATCTTTCACATGGATGTATTCAATTCAATTATTTACTTTAGACGGCTTTATGCACTAATTTGCATTCTTTTGAAAAAAAGTGTTTCTATCTTTTTACTTTGGTGTTGTAGATTTTGATGCCGGTATTCCCTGGGCAACTACGTTATATTCATAAGAACTTGTTCCATACAGTTTTTGTTCTGGATCCTGCATCCATTTGTGGACTTGAGGCAAGTTTTATTGTGTAAAACGTCACGTCAGTTCGTTATATGTGCATTATATTGTTGCCAGAATTACTTATCTAATTTTAGTTTCATTGTCTTTTGCAGGCAATTGACATGATTATTTCTTTGTACGAGAATAGTTTTCCTATGAGATTTGGGGTGATATTGTACTCAACAAAGTTTATCAAGAAGATTGAATCGAACAGTGGAGAACTCCCATTAGATCCTGTGAAAAATGATAGTGGGACAGAGGAAGATGTGTCCAGTTTGGTACTTCTTTCTATCTTATTGTACCGTCTTTTTACATCTCAACCATGTTTTACTACTCCTAATAGTTTTACTTAAACCTCATAAGAGTACAAATTTTTGTTATAGTAATTTGAAAATAAGATTTTTAACGAATCAGTTATAGAAAAGGTTTCTGTTCTATCATCTAGGTTGTAGAAACAAGTTCTACCTTTTTTTTAGGAAACCAGTGACTCACCATAGTTGATAAATAGCATAGATCCAGACAAAAACAAAATACAAAACATGCATTGTCTCTTTAAATCACTAATTACTATAGATTATTTGCAAAATTAATAATAATTATAGTTCCCACAACTAATTTTAATCCTTTGGAGAATTATTATTTTAAATGCTATGATTCACCACATTATCATTCTTTTAGGGAAATCTTGTTTCATTTTGTTACTATTAGAAAATCTATCACACACACACACACACACACACACACACACACACACACACACGTTGTTTATCTCCTAAATTCTCTTCATATGAGTGATTATACTTAGGTTCTAACGAACACGACTTTGCTGCTAGTATTTCTTATAGCAGTTTAGCAGAACTCAGAAATTACTGTCTTATATATAATTTAGTATGTAAAAGGTTTTGTGCATGTTCGTGTGCTGTATATATTCATTTTCTAGTCATGATGCCAATTCAGTTAAGGTTATGAACTTTAATTTCTCTTATATGTTAAATTTTCATTTATTATAATGCGCGCTTAATGAATTTATAAAAAATGTAGGGTAATTCAAATCAAATGGGCAAGAAGAGTTGTTAAAGTTGAAGTTGAAGCTGAAGATGGGGTTGTGGCTGTGCTTTCAGCATTTCCTTCGCCTTGGATGGGTTCTTTTTGAAAAACTTGTACTACATTTGTCAAAAAAATTTAATTCTTTTTTTTGTCACATTTAGTAGATCTAGACAATTTGGATGGTATTTTCATATTGGCAGGTTAACTTGTGGTTGTATTAGTAGACATTTTTTGAGTTTTGGGTGACATTTACCAGCTTTATCTATTAGTAAACAATTTCGATGGTATTTTTCATATTGGCAGCAGGTTAACTTGTGGTTGTAATATGTAAAAACAATTTGGATGGTACTTTTATATTGCCAACTTGTGTTATATTGGATGACATTTAGCAACCAAGATATTTTTTAAAGACAATAAAGGGCAAAAAATTAAAATAAAAAGAAAAATAAAAAAATAAAAATGTGCCTTTACTAGCGCTTCTTAAAGAAGCGCTGGCAAAGAGGGAAAAAAAAAAAAAAAAAAAAAAAAAAAAAAAAAAAAAAAAAACATAAAATGACCTTTTACCAGCACTTCTTAAAAAAGTGCCTATAAAGACCCTATACCAGCGCTTCTTAAAAAAGCGCTGGTAAATACCTTATACCAGTGCTTCTCAAAAAGCACTGGTAAAAGGTCCATACCAACACTTCTTCATTACCAGCGCTTTTGAAAAAGTGCTGGTAAAGCCCTATGCTGGATTTACCAGCCTTTTTTCAAAAGCGCTGGTACATTTTTTGGGACTTTTACCAGCGTTTTTAAGCGCTGGTAAAAGCCATAACTGTTGTAGTGTGTTATACATGTTTCTGCTTCCGAAATTCCTACTGCAAATTTTCATTGCCAAACATGTTTTCGTTTTCAACCCAGAACACTATATAACAAAACACTTGTTTTGTTTTAGGTTAAAACAAAATGCCAAAAACACTACACTTACCAAATAGGTCCAAAGTAATTCAACTACATACTTCAATATTATAGTATCAAATAAAAGTAAGCACTCATATAAACAATATTGAAGCCACATATATAAATATAACAATATAGTTTAATATTATATCATATAATTAATTATATCACAAAATTAATCTAAGAAATAATTTAATAATATGATTCAAGAGAAGACTTGGCTTTTTTAAAGCTTTGTGGCTTATTCTCCAATAAATATGTAGAAATTAAGACTAACAAATTTAGATGTTGTAACCCTCTTACTACGTCTAAGCTCATCCGTATTATCTATAAACTCTTTGTCTATATCCTCTTGTATATTGCTATTAGCAATATCATAATTTCTTTTAAGAGGATTTTATCTTGCATGTGCATCTTTACAAAGAAATATATCCTCAAAGAAATAAGCATTCCTAGACTCAATAATAGTATTAACGTGAATGTCAAGAATGTCTTATTTATGCACAAGAAAATAATATATACTACTATTATGAACATAACTTATCAAAGGTTTAGGTCCTACCTTAACTTTCTTAAGAGTAGAAACTGGAACCTTAGTTAGACACCCCACACTTAAAGAATTTATAGGAATGTTTTTTACCTTTTCATAATTAATATGGTGTCACATTTATTTTCTTTTGAGATATTTTATTGAGAACATAATTTGCATAAAGCAAAGTTTTCCGCCACAAATTCCGAGTTAAACCAAAATTTATCAACATAACATTCGTCATTTATTTTAAAGTACGATTTTTGCATTTAGCAACATGATTCTATTGAGATGTATAAGGAACGGTAGTTTGATGAATGATACCATTTTCTGAACAAATAATAACAAATGGTGTTTTGTATTCACCACTTCTATCATTTCTTAACACTTTAATCTTTTTACCAAGTTGATTCTCAACCTCATTTTTGTAATATTTAAACATTTTTAAGACTTCATCTTTATTTCGTAGCAAATATACATAATAATATCTTGTGCAATCATTGATAAAAGTAACGAAGTACCTTTTTCCACCTCTAGTTGGCACAAATTTAAGATAATATAATATACTACATATTATCATATTACAAAATTAAAATAATTCAACTAATATTGAATTATATCAATAATCTACTTATATAACATTCTTCAATTTCACATAATATTGAACACATCAATATTTAGCATATGATCATTTAATAATACTTATAATATTATTTTCTTATTTCTCAATTATTAATATAATTTCTACTTGTTTATATCTTAAATAAAATCATATAATAAAACAAAACAGGAAATAAATTGTCTTAAGATTATTAAAAAATATATATGCTTCATGTGATATTTAAGATATAACACATACTAATATATCATGAGATAATTAATAATATGCTAAGAAATAATTAAATTAAATATTCAACTCAATATTTAATTAAACATGCAAAATAATGCAATAAAATTAATAATATTAAAATAAAGAATTATGGTAGGACTAATATTTGATACTATATCCTTAAGACAATTTACGCCTCGCATGGTGTTGACGAACTCTATGGGGCTTGTCTTTCAGGATACAGCGGTTTACATTCACCAGTAGCAGCACTTCAAACTCATGGATACGGCGAACATCCTCTGTATAATACTATCTCTGACTCAAAATGATGCATCTATACTATAAAAAATTATGAATTGGGTTCAATGTGAACCATTTGGCTTGGACCAATTGTAATATGGCTATTGTTATAGATGTTTAGTCTAATGGTTCGAATCATTAGACCAAATGGCTTGGACCCGCACCCACTTGGGTTGGGTTCATATTGAGAAAGGAAGAGAATAATAAATTAAACGATTTGAAATAGTAGCCAAAGGTGAGTGTTTATAGACAGTGCAGTGTCTCTTCATTAACAGATACAACAACTTCCAATGGGTTGCAATGGTTGGTTCTAGACAAGATGGTGTCTCTTCGTTATTGGACGCATCCCTTAATTGGCATCCATTTTACAAACTCTAGTTTAAACTACCTTTTACACAGCTGTTCACTTTTGGATGCGATTCACTTTGACCAGACATAAGTTTTAACTTGTGCCTTTTCAACTCACAATCAGTTATCGCACATGTTCAGTCCAATGTATCCCTTAACAGTACGATAAAGGTATAGCCTAGATGTATGTGGATGACATTCACAGTTTTTCATCCCAACCAAGATACATTGTAGAACTGGTTGAGATTTCTCATGAAAGGATATGTTAAATGACTTAAATCATCATGTATTTTACAATACATGTACCAATGTATCAATTACTTAGTATACACAGTTGGCATTCACGTTGTTGTTCTAACGTGATATACGCATATTCACGTTGCATTTCTATATGATATACATGGACATCCAACCGAGTTTCATTCACACTTAGAAACACTAGTTTTCAGAACTAGTTTCCAACATAAAGGAAAAGGGGTGAAGAGAAGATATGAATGAACAAACTTCCTTCGTTTGATAAAGAAGAGATAAAGAGAGAAAAGATAACAGAATGGACGAGTCATCCTTCTCTCTTCACAAATTTTCATACCTTCAAATATGAACGAAAAAGGAGAAGAGAAGAAGCCAAGTAAAACTATTATAGGAGTTTTTTCCTCTCAACAACTCCTTCATTACTCGATCATGAACTAAAGACGTTTGATATTTGGATTCTTCCATATCCCCCATTTTGATGATCAGCCATATAAGATCCTTATATTATTGAGGAGAAAGATGGGACGCGATGTGCTTTCTTCAATCACCCTTGAAAGAAGCTGCTAAAGAAGTTTGATATTTTGTAATTGGCAAAATGCCAAGATGCCCCCAAAAATCAAATGAAGATTAAGGTACACAACAAGCTCTAATTCAATAGTGGATAATGGATATATATTCCTAAAAGAAAAAATTAACTGTTAGATGTTTTAGGCATTGCAATATCATCTAAAGTAAATTTAAGAGATAAAAATCACATTTACAGAGAACAAGCTTAGAAACATTCCAATTCTAGTACATGATATTAGATTAAAGGATAGCCTCCATGAACTCCTTGTCGGATTCAAGAGCACACATTAAATCAGGTGAAAGGCACACCTCCAAATCCATACTCCCACCCCCTTCATATCCTGGATACAATGACACTTTCCCATCAAATTTGTTTGCGTATCCACTACGAAGTGCCACCGCCTTCCCCAATCCGAATTCATTCCCATACATGTCAAACCGCGGTGAGCTTCCCATCAAAATGCTGCATGGATCCAAGAACCGTCCTTGTTGGCATATAAAGGGAGACTGAAGCCATGCCTCACCCCACTCTCTTATTGCATTGTCATTGTGGTTGGTCACAGCTTGATGCAATAGTGAAGCTGCCCACCCAAGATCGTGTTCAAGCAGATCTCCGGCTGTGGTGCTTCCTCTCACCGTCTGCATTGGATTTCCGAAGTACTCCTGAGGCAATGGCGGGCTCAATCTTGATCTATTATTAATGGACATTCTGCAACTGGTTTCCTTGTCAGCTGGTGGACGGCCCCCACGGGTCACGGACCTCCAAAGAAGTGCTGACAATGCCTGCAAGGAGGAGATGTTATTGGAGTTGCATTCTGAATTGGCCTTGGCTTTGATTCTTGCTATGGCCTCTGTTGAGAAGTGGAATATTCTTTCCCTCAGTTGGGGTGCTTCATGTCTCTTGATGAACTGATCATCGTGAGTAAAAGGCAGGCTAATAATTGGACCATGGTCCTCAGGAAACCAACGCTTGTGAATTGGTGGGTGTGAAATGGGAATATTGTCCTGCCCTTGTGCTTTGAAAATCTCCGACCATACCCTAAAGAAATGCCAGAAAGATGTTCCGTCCGCGACAGCATGGTTCATGGAGCATCCTATAAAAATGCCATCAACTAGCTCCGTCACCTGTTAAAAAATAATAAATGAAATTACAGTCTCTCTAATAGGTTAAAATTTTGAAACTCTGAAGTCACCTGAATAGATAACAGAGACATGGTATGACCATCATGATTAATTGCCCGGTCATGGTCAAAGAACGATTGGACAACTAGAGGGACGTCACTAGGCGAAAGGACATCGGACATTGTTAAGTCCACGGCTGCATGGATGAATTTGGCACCGGGGCTGTCATTGCAATCGATAAATACAGAGTAACAAGGTGGATTTTCTTGTTTGAGTGTGGATAGGCGACCGGCAAGTGGATAGAAATGAACAAGAGCAAGAGAGAGGGAAACTTTGAGCCTTTCCAGGAGAGGTTTGATGGGTTCTGCTCGAGACTTGACGAAGAGTAGACCCTTTTGGATGTAATGTAGTGAGAGCATGGCTAACTCCCATTGTGACAAATGAATGGGCTGCTTTGACTCATCTGCTGTGTTTTGTGGTTTGATAAAACACTCTGTGATGTGTTGAACAGTTGGAGCATTCATCCTCAGAATTCTTGATGACATGTAGTTGGTCTCCACTTCTGAGAGTTGATTGTTCTCTTCAACTTCACCCATCTCGTTTTTAAATCTAGATCAGGCCTCGCCAAATAATGTGATCCAACGGTCCAACCAAGTTTGGTGAAGAGTAAGTATGTTGAGTTTTAACTTATGCGGTCAATCTTTTACTATGATGTGTTAGCTGAGAAGAAATAATCTTTTCTTATAATCTTATTTAAGTGACATGGAGGTCAAGTGTTGGTTTGTCATTTATTTATTTATTAAACAAGTTTGTCATTTAAAGATGTGGACTTAACATGGGATAAATGGTCAAGGCAATGCAATTCAGGCCTTTAATAAATTTATTGTACATCTGATCATCTTCCGCGTACGAAAGATCTACAACTAATCAAATATTGATACGTATGAAAATAGAATAATCGCGTTAAAAGTGGGCCAAAATTTTTTTTCTGGTCCAATGGTTTTGTGACTTGAATAGTTGATTTTTAACCTTTTTTTTTGTCTTTTGTTTTTTTGTCTCCATAGATGGAATAGCGGTAAATATTGGGTGCAATTATTAATAGGCATTAGGTCACTTGGTATGGGAAAAAAACAAGAAGAAAAAAAGACATGGTGTCAACTCTTCCTCAAAAAGATTATTTGAGTGTCAGTGCCTCCCTCAATGGTGCTGAATATTCCACCCCTGTTTGCATTAAGGGGCTTAACAAGGATTCAATGTAAGGGACGTAGTATTAAAAGTTTTACTAATATAATATAATAATATTTTAAGTCAAAAGTACTTTATGAGCGATTCGATGCATATAAAAATATATCTAGCCAAAATTTGACTAATTTGTTTACAAAACAATAATTAGCCTATATCTAGTCAAATATAACATAAATATATACAAAAAGAAACCTGAAAGACCAAACAACTACTACAAAAGCTAAGCTCGACGATCTTTTAGAGAAGAAAAATCATCTATAATTGAATCTATACTAAAAGTTTGAGCAATTTCTCTTTCAATCCTAACAATCAAGTAATCTGCAAGAAACTCATCCTCCATTTTATTTCGCATTTGTGTTTTGACAAGTTTCATAGTTGAAAATACCCTTTCTGTAGTTGCCGTGGAAACAGGAAGAGTCAAGACACGACGAATCAACCTATCAATCAAAAAGTAGATTTTTGACTTCTTTGTTTCCACTAATCCTCTACATAGTTCAGAAATTGTTGACATATTTTTCAAATGTGAATGAACAAGCACTTCAACCTCATAATGTTGCAATTGGAATGTCAAAATAATCCTCTCTTGGTCCGCGAAATCTTAAGAATAAAATTCATCTACAGGCGTGTGGTGGGGTGCCGCCGCGAGCACCCCAAAGTTTACAAAGAGATGAACTAAGATGAGTATAGCCAAGTTTTACATTTATAATTTGTCACTACTACCTTTCACTAAAAATATAGTTAGGGTGAGTAGGGATCGTCCCAAGGGATTGGTGGGTCGTATTAGGTTGTGATATCGAGATTAGGGTTAGTAGGTCGAGTGATCAAAAGATTGGTTGGTGATTGAATTATACTAAGATGCAATTTAAACTAAAGAAACAATTAAATGCAATAGAGAGAAAATAAGAGAGAGAGATCTTGGGGTTTAGAGATCATCACTAAGCATAACTTTTCTACACCCTTAATGAATGATTAATGAGTGGGAAAACATGTATTGCAATAATAGCGTGTGTGTGTGGTTGTTTCAACAAACATGGATGACTAATTAAGTATTTATTGTCTAAGCAACATAGTGGATAGCACAATATATCAAACTAAGCCATTAATCCTTTCTTTAAGCTCACAATCCAAGCACATCACAAGGTTAGAGACATATGCTACTTGTTTTCATAAGTATGGAACATCAAATAACATGCACGGATTATCCTCCCATTTAACATCTAACTACAACTACACTTCAATTAAGCTAATGACATGAAATTAAACTAATTAAACTAAGGGAGAGGCACAATCCATCAAGAAATGAGTATGAACCATCAAATAAACCACAAGAGCATTCTATTGAGCACTATGTCTTGACAATCTTTAAATCTATAGCATCAATACACATAAACATGCATCAATAGCATAAAATTTAGAGACAAACACATGAACATCTATTCTAGCATACATAGACATATGGATAGAATGAAATGATCAATTAGAAGCATTAAACCACACAAATCATTGAATAAATAAGATCTATGTATATAAAAATGTCAAAACATATATCACAATACAAATCTCCTCAAAAATACATAAATCAAGATGTAAAAAGCATGCTTAGGGCTAACTCTAGCCCCAAGAAGATGTCTAGCCACTCATGAATGGTGTCCTCCAATCCTCAAGGGCTAACTCCAAGCTTGTGTCTCTAGCCTCCTCTCTTCTTTTTTTCCTCACTAAGAATATGATATGAAAATTGTGTCAAAAGTCTTTTTAAAGTATGCTCTCAAGAATGACTCATATTCCTTATATAGGTAGGTTAAAATGTCACACTCAATAGTCTAGGCTAGCACATCAATATTCCTCCAATGATTGCAACATGAGCCAACCTTTAATGAGCTGGATTTTGTCTTTTTTTTGGGCCTGAGGAAATTCGATCGATCGAACTTGTGCAGAGATCGATCGAACATGGTTGAGATTTATCGAACTTAAGCTGGATCGATCCTCTATGGCGGCGCCTTTTTGGATAAAGACAAATCTGAGATATTTTGGGGAATGAGACAAAAGTGATAGGTAAGGTGGTACAACAGGATAAGATGGAATCTTTTCGATCGATCTGAGAATTGTTGGATCGATCGAACTTTGTGGGATCTTTGGATAAGGACAAAAGAGCTTGGATCCATCTTGAAATGTCTAGATCGATGAACTTTCGATCGATCGAAATATACTTGTGATCGATCGAACCTGCTGAATTCTATACTTTGCTCCAATCTGCTTCCACTTTGCTCCTTCCTTCCATCCAGCTTGAGTTAGCTTCTTTTAAGCTCTTATTTGGCTGAATTAGCTTATTTTGGGGATAAACATCTAAAAAGGGCAATAACATAAAATTAGTCTAAAACGGGAAAGTAAGATAGATAAAGGTCCTAAAATACCTAAGTTTACGGGGTTTAAATGCGCACTTTTCAGCGCTCATCACACCCCCAAACTTAAATATTGCTAGTCCCTAGCAATGAACTACAAAATAAGGAAATGAAATGATCAACTATACAACTATGAACTAGAAAGCAATAAATGGAGAACGCCACTTTAGTAGGGAACACGATTACATTTAGCGTATGCAACAAGCCTTTTAAACCCCTAGGTTACCCCTAGTGGACGAGTGAAGTCTCGTGAGGGTTTCCAGAAATGATACCCAAAAACATTAAGCTCATTCTCATAAAAGAGGCACCAATATTGCAAACAAGCATTGGGAGAAAACTACCTCAAGTATGCAATTTTTCAAACATTTCCAAGCAATCTCCTAAAATTTCAATATCAAGCAAGCAAGTATGGTCCTCCACACATCAAGAAAATGATCAAGCAAATCAAAACAACTCTAAAATCCTTTTTGAGTGGACCGGCATCAAATATGTTGCTATCTAGGCCAACTAAAGGAATGATCACATCCTTACCCTCAAACTAGCACACAAATCTATTACCGATCATCAAGACAAAGAGTGGACATTTTATTAAAGCTTTATTGTTCTAGGTGCGCTTATTTTTTTATTTTATTTTATTTTATTTTATTATTATTATTTTTTTCTATCCCTGAGGATCAAAGATGAAAGCATAGTGCAATGTGTTGATCTATTAAGCTTTCTAGCGATCCATGAGGTCGAGCATTAGGTTAATGACTCCCAAACCAGACGGCTTTAGGGCATTAGGCGTTCAAATATCCCTAAGGACTTACAAGCTCAAATCAACTAGGCTACAAATCAAAACAACCCCTATCTAATCATTTCCCACTTCTCACCTTTTTAGGAGAAGTCCTCACTTTTTTATTACTTTTTTTTTTTTTTTTTAGCAAGTTCAATTATTAACTTAGAGTTTGGGCCCTCCACTCTTCGGCGCGAGAAGTTCAGTGCTTGATAAGGCTAGAATCCCGACTACTTAGTGAAAAGGTGTTGTTTTCCACCTTTATCAAGAATGAAAGTTTTCAGTGCACTACTAGCTCAATTGGGATATAACCATTTCAATAATCAACAAAGCATTTACCCAACAAATGAAAGCTAGTGTGCCCTTGTGCTAGTGTAGAATACTAAAGTGAATCTCAAAACAATCACAAAATCAGGATGATTTGGACTACAAATGCAAGCAAGATATCAATCTTTCAAAAAATATACTCCTAAATGGCATCCACAAGGCATACAAGGAGTATTAGACTCTCAAGTTGAGCAATTTTTAAATTTTAAGCAATATAATTCTCAAAAAATCAAAATCATGACTAGTTATTGACCAATCATAGAAAATTCCTCAAATACACAAGTTATGCTCAAAATTTTGAATTAAAAGCAAATACTGCAATTAACACCATTACCCCCCCCCCCCCCCAAACTTAAATAGCACAATGTCCTCAATGTGCAAAGAGAGCAAAGAAATAGTATACAAGTGCAGCTAAGCAAAGAATGGCCGGGACACAAGTATCCAAAGTAGGTGGCATAGCCCCCCCAAACTTGGGATTAACTGTGGTCCTGAAAAGATGGTACTGGAATTAAACTAATTAAACTAAGGGAGAGGCACAATCCATCAAGAAATGAGTATGAACCATCAAATAAACCACAAGAGCATTCTATTAAGCACTATGTCTTGACAATCTCCAGATCTATAACATCAATAAACATAGACATGCATCAATAGCACAAAATCTAGAGACAAACACATGAACATCTATTCTAGCATACATAGACATATGGATAGAATGAAATGATCAATTGGAAGCATTAAACCACATAAATCATTGAATAAATAAGATTTATGTATA